TTATTAATGCAAATCTCTCTAACCCTATATTTGGAGGGGGGAAAATTAGGGGGTAAATGAATATTTAGGAGAGAAAACTCTAAAAAAAGGGGGGGGGGTAATTGGTTTTTCCTATAAGTTTTTCTTTCTAATATTTTCTCCTCCTATTTTCCTCCCATTTTTCCTTTCATCCCGTCTAATATCTTCCTCGTTTGGCTCAGTGGGTTTGTTGAACTGATGATTTTTGTTGACTAATACAAGTTTTGGACCACATTAATTATATCATGTTAAAACTCCAATATGAACATGTGTGGGTGTCATCTAAATTCTAAGCATACAATATTTATTTGCAGTGTCAGCATCTAAGATGCATGTGGATTATGACCATGTGTTTGTAGTCCTAATTTTAGTAATTACTCCTTCTAATATTTATTATAAGCATATTTTTTTATTTTTTCCTAAATATCATTTGATTTGATATTCTCTAATTAATTAACTGAACAATCTCTTTTAATTAATGAGTTTTATTGAGGATAATTTTAAAAATTAACAAACATTAATTACTTTTAACTAACTTTTTTAAGTACACGGACACGGAAATTTGTTAACAATGGATCAGACGTTGGAATATTTTCATAACTTAATCTTGCATATTTTAGTGTTAAATTTAACGGGATATGAAAAGAAGTATTTATGATTTTATTATATTTCTAAGATATCTGAGTTATTTGGATTTATTATCATTCTAAGATTTATTTAGATTTATTAGTATTTTTATTATTAGGCCTAGTTGTTATTATTATTATCTTTATTACTATTTGAGTATAATTAGATCTTAGAATAATACTCCTCCGGTCCTTAATATAAGACTCATTTAACTAATTTGATTAGATTAAGGAAGTTAGGTAAGTTAGTTAATTATAAGAAAAGTGACACATTTTTCCTAAAACACCATAATCGTCTTTCTTAATACCTCATCTCCCTCTTCTACTTGATTATGGTTGAGGGAGTATCCATAGAGGTAATTTAGAGAAAATTGATAAATATGATAAATGGGTCTTATATTTAGGACCAAAACCAACTCAAGAATTAGGTCCTATATTAAGGACCGGAGGAGTACTTGACTATTGAATCCTTTTCTTTTTGGCTTGTTTCCTCTCGTCTGAATTTTTTTTCCTGAACTATCCTCCATACCTGCCACTGTCGCCGCTCTCTGTCATCGTCCACCACCTTCCCTTAATCTGATCATCATGAAACCGCCTTATCAGAAGCAGCTTGAAGAACTCAGCCAGATTACAAAGTTTCACAGCGAAAGAAGCCGTCACGCACCACTTCATTGGTCTGCAAGTGGATTCCGCAGGCTGACGAGGCTGAAATGTCCAGAATTAGACTTTCACAAAAGTAACACTTGAGACCCAGGGTTCTGGCAAAAGTTACACTTTTGGACTCCATTTTTGTGTGAGAAAATTTCATTTTGGAACGAATTTTGGAAAAATTTGCATTTGTGACCCATTGTTACCTGCCTCTCCGAACGTGGACTTTCAGGTATTTTTATTTTCAATTTTCATTAATATTTATTTGTTGTACTTGGTTTCCAGATAAAAATTTAGAAAAAAAAAGGAAAAGTGGAGAGAAAAGGGGAGTTGTAATGCTACTTAATTTTGAGTTATAAAAAATACCCATATAAGAAGTGTTGCTATGCACATGACACCCCATGTAAGGATATTGATAATGACTGTATTAGATATACTACTCACCCCTATCGGTATGCCAACTGGGTGCAGTACGACTATACTGATTGTGATGATTATGTGCTCAATACTATGTTGATCCTACACATTATTACCACTATAAGCATGTCATGCAAAAACAATCATGTGATTATGCACTTGATAAGTTTGAAAAAAATCACATAATGAGAGAATTCATAAGCTTATAAAATTCTTTGATAAGTCAAAAAATCAAATAAAAGAGGCTCTCCAAACGAGTAGGCTAATAGAGGTCAAAGCTTTTTCACTAGACACGGAAGAAGATATTGTCAATCTAGTTGAAGTGGCACTTCCAACTCATCTAGAGTCCATTACTCGACATGTACTGTTGGACCCACTTGTGACAGAAGTAAGTAAAGTCTCTAATCTTGTTATCATTAGTGACAATAATTCTATGAAGGATGATCCAATTGTCCAACTGGCAAACAAGGTAGTTTCTTCTTAGATTGTGGCCAGCAAGAATTAGTCTCATCATTCTACAATGCCACCTTATTTTAAAGTTGCATTTCCTAAGATTGCCCCATTACTAAACAAATTTTTCCAACAATAGCTTGTCTATTAGAAAGATTTCCTAGATGCTCTCCAAGATCTAGCTACTCAGTCTTGCCAATTTGTTAGCTTACCTATTGGAAGGAATTTTTAGATTGAAGTGTCATGTCAAAGTTTTGTCTAGCCCTTCTCTACCTAGCATTGCACATCACTTTTAACTCATCTAGAGCGGAGTTCTTCATGAGCGGGAGAAATGATGGAATATGAAAAGAAATATTTATGATTTTATTATATTTCTAGGATATTTGAGTTATTTGGATTTACTATCACTCTAGCATTCATTTAGATTTATTAGTATTTTAGTATTTTTATTATTAGGGCTAATTATTATTATTTTTGTCTTTATCATTATTTGAGTATAATTATATATTTAGAGTTTTCATTCTAAGATAGACTTGATTATTGAATGATATTGTAATTATCATTTTCTCTTGGTTTATTTCCTCTTCTCCATTTTCTATTTCCCCTTTCTTGCTCTTTATGATCTCTTTCCTTCTCCATTCCTCTTTTTGTTTTACCTCAATTATTCAATGCAACATATGTCAAAGCAGTTATATACATATGTTGGACAAGACGACATCTTAAGATTGGTTTGATGCATAGCTAAATACTACATTTTTATGTTTAGTAAGGCATGACTAAACATGTTTATATATACTAGTCCTATTTCTGAGGTAGAGAGAGTGTTTTTTTTTTGGGGTCATATTTATAAGTCATTTGGGGGTGTTTGGATGAAATCAAATTATAATTTAGAGAATAACTTCTGAAAAATAGATTTTGGAATAATAGATTTTATAAAAAAAAAATTCTGATAAAGTGAGAATGTCTCGATAGCGGTTATTAGAAACACTTTTATATATATATATAAATTACTAAAAAGGGCATAAGTTGATATGATAATCATATAAAAAATAGATTTCATAATATATTTTAATTTGAAGGAATAAAATTGTTAATAATATATTTTTTACCAACATAATTAATAACATATAAGATAATATAATTAATAATTAATTAATATGTGTATATATATTTATAAAATATAAGATTAAATATGTTTATAGAAAAATAATTGAGGGGTATTAAAGTCATATTACCATTGGGATCAACTCTAACCGGCACAATCATACCCTCTAATTTAGGCAAGAAGCAGAATGAATTCATTTCTTCTGAAAAAATGGTTTTGGCTTTGGTCTAAAATGGGTGTTTGGATGAAATCAAACAATGATTTGGAGAATAGCTTCTGGATAATAGATTTTGGAGATAATAAATTTTGTGAAAAAGCGATTCTGAGAAATGAGAATGTTTAGATAGTTGTTACCAGAAGCACTTTTTACATATGCAAATTACTAAAAAGGTCATAAGTTAATATGATAATTATATAAAGGATAGATTTTATAATATATTTTGATTTGAAGAAATAAAATTGTTAATAAAATAATTTTTACTAACATAATTAATAATATATAAAATAATATAATTAATAATTAATATGCATATATATTTATAAATTATAAAATTAAATAGTGAAGGACCGATTGTGAAATGAAAAGTGAGGTATCAATTATGGGGGCTGCTTTGTCATATGCTGTTGGGCCCATATTAACGTCTAAAAAATTTGAATCTGAAGCAACTTTAAACCACTTCCACTGAAACCATGGTTTTGGGGTTCAAAACCATAGTTTTACCCCAAACCATGGTTTTCACATTTTTTTTTTTCCTTGTTTGGCAAATTTGGCCAAAACCATGGTTTTAAATATTTGCCAAACAAGCCCTTATATAATTTTTAGTATGAACATACTATTTTATTATTTAGTTATTATAATCAAGGTAGTTGCTTCTTTTCAAAAGACTATATATTAAATAGAAATAAAATTAAAAGGTTGTTATATTTTTAAAAAAATTAATACAATTTAAAGCTTTTCTTTATATGTGAAACATGCTAAAAATACCCTATAAATAAGATAATAAGTTTTGAATAATATAGCTCACCATATATTTATATTCTAATTTAGTTTAGATACAATCTATTTTGTTTAACCAAAAGAAAAAAAAGAAAGAAAACAAAAACAAAAACCTTTCAGCCAAGGCCGAATTTGCATTTCTTCAAAGGCCAGGTACTACCTCTGGTTCTTCATATAAGTTCAATAACTAGTTAAAAATTTAATTTATTCTTCAATAAAAAATCAAAATTGGTTTTGTTTATCATATTTATCCACTCTTTTCCGAATAATCCTAATAGTAATTAAATATGTTAAAAAATTTCTATTAAGAGATAGTTATAATATACATGATTAATATTAACATTGAAAAAAAAAGACAATATTCATTCGTTAAAATTGACTAACTTAACTATTTTTTTGATTTAATTATCAAATTTTAATATTAAAAACAAGAACTAGTAACTCATTTCCTGTCAGTCTCTAAATGGTCATCTTGATCCATATCACTATGACCCCCTCATGACATTAATTCAGAGTTGTTTTATCATTTAAAAATTACATTTTAATTACAAAGATCCTAGTAGTAAATTCACAGAGTCACATAAATAGTTATAATTAAAATAACTGAGTCAATATAGTTTTTTTATTTTCAAGATACAATCTCATTAGATTAAAAAAGTTTACAAATTAATAATAATTCCTCAATATATACAATTACTTTAGAAATTGCCTAAAAAAATAAATAATCTTATATTTAAAATTAAATCAAAAGTCAAACTAACTATTATATTGAGAATTAATAGCATATTCAAACCGAAATAACCAGCTACCAAATGCAGATTATAGTTGTCCTTCGAGCGCCCGTGCACACTACATATATAAAAATATTAATATCAACTCTTGCGTAGCAATTATTCAAATTTCATTTACTCAAGTTACATCACTTCTTAACTACTTGAATTGAACTCATTGTCCATACAAACTCAGAACAGAACCCATAATTTGCGGGTTACCTCTAGCTTCAATGGAACCATACAGATACTTCTTACTGGAGAAGAGTCGTGAACCTTTTGTTTCGAGAACTCAAAAGGCAAATGACAAAAGGTGCTCATCATTCACCAAACCTAGGATTCTCCGACATGGACCTAATTCCATTGAAACGTGATCATACCATGTTGTCCTTTAGATCCCACCATCATTTCTTGAGGCAGACCTAAAGGATGACCTCGAAAAGTCAGCCTATGTCAGGACACTGTAGGAAGTTGGCACACATTAAAATGCAAAATAGTTTAGGAACATCAGCTGCAATAGATGGATTATTTTAGCACAAATATAAAACAGACATTTTGCCATGGAAAGGAAAAATAGAAGATGAATTGATCACTTTATTCCAGAAGGACCATGTTTCCAAACCAGAAAATGAAATGTACACTTTATCCGGATCTATCTAGCATGCCAAAAAATGAACCACCCACCCAATCCTGCTTTTCATTGCCTGGAGAAACAGGAAAAAAATAAAAAAGGACAAGAAAGCTAACTCTCTTCTCGTCTGAGCCTCTTAAGAGCTTGCTCAGAATCCTCACTGTAGTAGTCGACTCCTGGGCATGGTATTGATTGCGTGTTCACAAATTGGTTCCCATGATCCTGAACAACAACACTGCCCACTATCAAGATGAATTTAAAAGGTAAAAATTATCAAACAGCACGAGGTCAGCATTATTACGACTGACAACAATGAAAACACAATGGGTTGACATGTTCCATTGGCCAAAAACAAGGATATTGGAAGCTTTTCCATCGTTCTGTCCTTTTTCATAAATTATCTAAAGCGGCAGCTACTAATTAAATACCATAGGTGTAGTAGTGATGTGACAAGAAATTCTCAAACATTCTGAACTGTTAGTTTTGACAAACCTTTGAGCTAGACGTGGAGGCAATTGATCGTCTCCCTACATCAATTTGTACTGCAACGTTGGCCTCAGATAAATCCACACCCGAAGACCGCAATGCTTGCATGAAATTATCCAATATTCTGTTGAGCACAAAAACCCCACTCAATAATGAAATAGTGAAATATGGTTCCACGAGATGCTTAAGGTAACCTTTTAATGTGCCAAAGAGAACTTTTGCAAAAGAGTAACCAGCATACCAATTATTTTAGTCAACAGCAAAAAAAAAAAAGCCTGATGGAACCTACATCATTGTAATCAACACCAAATCCTTAATGATTCATACTAGGCCACATCCTAGAATCTTAATCTGTACAATCATCAATGCATGCATCCACCAATCCACTTGGCCTCAACCTTAACTTCTAAGCCTGAAGGTTTGTATGTCAAAAAGCAAGGCTTTAGAATATTACACGCAGAAAGAGATTGTAATTGTGTCTCAGAAAACCAAGTTATCGCACTACAGTTAAAACTCATTATCAGTCAGACTACATTTTTCAATTTGACATTTCAGACAAAGGTTCAAACAAGTCTGCTTCTGAGAACTTACAAAGTCAGCAATTAATAAGCTTTACATTGTTTTTACAGAACAAAATTCTATGTCTCAGGCAGTGAGGCCATTAGTTTGCAGATAATGAGTGGAACTTTGTATGCAATAATTGTTTATGCCCAAAAATGTCACACATTCTTTTATGAAATGTTGAATGGGCATTGGGGAATTCTGTTACTAGTAAATGAGCTAAATATGCACACCCAATGCCAGCTTCTAGAACAGTTACAGCCATCCACTGGTTATGTCAGTTTCAGTTTAACAATAACTCCTGGGAACCTAATCAAGAATAAGAACTAATGTAAACTCACGAGAAACTCACCCCTGAGAATAGGCTCTTGAGATGCTAACCGATTCACTTTCAAATGTCAGCTCGTCTTGATCCTTCAATGTATTATTTCGAAAATCATATGCACCCTCCTTGGGTTCACCAAGACACTCGTGAGGCTGAGTATTGGAAGGTGTGTTCTCGGTGTTAGAAACTGCTTCATGTAAATGTTGGGTTGGAAGGCCACTGCTCACAGCCAGATCAAACATGTCCAGCCGCATTTGCATGCCCAGGGGAACCGCATCAGAAGCTAAACCAGGGGGCCCAGCCTTATGGATAACTGTTGGTGACAAGTCAGATTCAATTGTATTCTGTGCATTTAGCGGCAGTGATGGAGAGACAATGTCATTGTTCTCATGGCCAGAACCATTTTGTATAGCCTGAGATGTGACATTATCAGTTGGTCCACAATGATTTCTCTGATACAAAATTTGAGAGTTCCAACAAGTAAGATTTATAGCAACTGTTTATTGTGTTAATATTCATTAGCACCTTACAACAATGAACACTTTATCATCCCTAAACTCACTAAAATATGCATACAGGAAGTAGATCTACCCCAGGCTTTAAAAGAGAGGGAAAAAAAAAGGGGGGGGGGTAAGGCAGACTGATGGATGACAGAAATAACAAGGTCATGGAAAGGCCCAAAAAATATAGGGGGGAAAGCACAGAAAGGATGGAGATTGAAATATTTTATCGTGGTGTTTCTATTACTTTTTATCATGGAAAGGCCACCTGATCATTTGACAAGCAGGTGCTCACGCTGTTAAGCCACAAGATCAATTCTGTCAACTTCCCCATAATGGCCTTCAAAGCGAAATCACTGTGGAAACTGAGGTTTCAAATTTGGAGGACCACATTGAAAATAAGTTTATGTTTTGATGGCCAAAATGTCAAAATGTATTCTTTAAAATATAGATTATTTACTATTTAAAAATATAACGCAGTGTATATTCATTCCAATCAACTCACAAGAAGCTGTATTATATCTTGCATCAAAATCACTGAAAAGATTGAATACGCTAGCTAAAATATAAGATTAAAATACAGCCATGATGAATGGGAAGACTTGGTGTTATGGTATTTAGATAAGAAAGAGAGAGGAAGAGAGATAACGAGAGAAAAGAAGCAATGTGAATGGTGCAAATGATTGGAAATCAACTCAAAAACTAGGTACCTCGCTGCCTCTTATTCATAGGCATTATTCTCATCTGAATATACATCCTAATTTATCCAAATCCTACTAATATAATAATATAACCAAATATCAAATCCTATCTAAATACATTGAAATTTTCTAAATCTATTTAAACCTGACTAATTCTTAGTTCCTTTTTTATTTTTATAATAATTACCTGACACTTGACCACACACTGATAATATGGAAGCCTCCTCTTTATGTTTATAATACATCGGGACAGAGATTAAATACAAAATAAACTCATAGAGACATAATAAGAATAAGTAGTAACCACAGAACTCGTAGACAATACTAAACTACAACGTTCTTAAATAGTAAAACAACAACAAAACCAGTGTAGTACAGCCAATGAAAAATCTTGCAATAAGGATATAAATATTAAAACGTATGTTTTTCACAGTAAAAGGAGTAAAAAGGGAAAGAAAACCTTGTTCAAGTTGGCCTGTAATTAGTTTAAATCAACCTTAGACAAAATTAGCCATCTATGTAAGGTGCAGTCCATGCTCAGGGTTCTGAAATCGAAAAGCCATATGGCTGACTTAAAACATTCTTCCGTATTTAAAAGTGACTTCTAGAATACACACACACACATCAGAAAGATTCACAATGCCCAGCGCACTCACTTTGACATCTGTCAACACTTAATGGAATCTACAGTCTCCAAGATTTTAGCAAGGACAAAAAAAAATCTTAGCACGGCAAAGAAAGGTACCTTGGACAAACTAACATCAGTATCAGAACAGAGACATAATCACGCAATTGCCAAAACATTCAATAAAACAAACGTGCAAATTGCAGAGAAGCAGGTACATGCATGCATGAACAACATCAATCCAAGGAATTTTACCCAAGGAATTAATTTCATTGGCTCCTGGTTCCAGCCTTGGTAAGATTGCTCATACATCTGTAATTTCTCCTGTAAAAATTGAATATACTCGATAACCTGCATAAAGAAAAGCCAAATTCCTTGATTTAGTTCATCAAAACCAGATCACATGATTATAAGAAACTCATGACTGAATGAAATACCTCCAACAAGAAAGAAGCCTTATCCCTTTTTTGATCATTTTGAGGAATGAGGTCTCTCAGAATCTGAAATCTGGTTCACAAATTTAGCTATTTTCAGGTATAAAAATGAAAACTCTCATTGCTATTAATAATTCAATCATCAATCTCATATCAAAATAGCCCAAGAAGCATTCAAAGGGCAATTCAAATCTTAACATTGTGATTAGGTAGCTTAGAAAACCTGGTTGATATTCAAATCTAAAATGCCAACTACCTAGAAGCAATCTTTGATAGGAAAATAAAAAAACCAATCATGTGAAGAATATATTAAAACTGTGAAGAGTGCAGCTACAAATTTTTCAGAAAATAATGCATTTTATTGCTCAAATCCTGCACAAGGAAATGATGGCAAAATCTTTGCTTACAAAAGTGAAAACAGAACATAGTATTGTAAAAAAAATTAAATTGAAACGAGGCCTTCTTATATGACTGTCATGCAGAATCAGTAGCCAGAAAAATTGTCAAACAAAAATCAGAAGCTAACCTGCTTTGATCATTAGTCAAATTGACGGCATTTTCTATCAACTCTAAACCAGTTGGTATAGCCATTACACAGGAAATTACAAAGGAAAATGCAAAGTATGAAGGTACCGTCACTGGGAAATGGCTTTCATAATAATTTGAAGTCCTTTTCCCAGTAACAGTGGGTAATATATGTTTGCGCCCACTGGCTACTGCTAATAATCCCAACAGGCTAATAATCCCAATAGAGGAAATAAAGCAAACCCAAACGATAATTGCTAAAAGCCAAACGAAAAATAAATATTATCCCGTAGCTTCACAAATGCATTAGTCAGACAGGAATATAGAGACCGCATCCGTAGGCATGAACACATTAAAAAACAGGCATTGACGAAGCAAAGTTTACTAGTCAACCATAGCTAGTCATTTAGCTTACCTTTCATTTATCTTGCTCCTTCTACGCTGCTCAGTTTCTGAATGCTTAGAACGATGCGCGTTAACCCGCTGCTCTCTAGCCGTTTCATCCACCTTCACTGCCGGTCAAGACATAATTATCAAATCCCAGCATTCAATTTAGAAAATTTCCGGCACCCAATCCCTTTACTACTATAACCCAATTCCCAGAATAACACGAAAGGAGAGGAAAGCGTAGAGAACCAAAGCATCGGGGAGAGATGCAAACCTTTGTGCGAAGAAGAGCCATTTCCAGTCAGGTGATCTACGTCGTCGTCTTCCAATTCTTGTTGCTGACCTCTCGCAGACCGAGCCATCCCCTCTGCCCCACACGACAGAGAATGGATTGAAAACCAAAGACTTCTCGCCAGAAAATCAAGATTCAAGAAGAGATGGAGAGCGCAGAGAGAAATGGAGGAGGAGAATTTGGGAGGAGATTTCGCCGGCAACGAGGGCCTCCGAACGGGTTGACAGGTCGAGTTTGTTTTATGTACAGTTGGAATGAGAGAATCAGAGAAGGAAGCCCTAAAGTGACGATGAGTTGAAGATGTAATTTGTCCATTGTGGGGAAGTGGCGGGTGCTAGCCTACGCACTATAAGCAGTGTGTTCAGCTGGGGTTTGCGCTTTGTCGTTTAGTCATGGTCGAGAATTAATCCATCCTTAATATAAAATATATTTAACTAATTTAATTAGATTAAAAAATTAGTTAATTATAAAAAATATGATATGATTTTTCTAAAACACCATAATCATCTTTTTTAGTATCCTCTCTTCTTTTCTACTTAATTATGATTAAGAGAGTATCTATAGGGATAATTTAGAACAAATTTATAAATATGAGAAATATATCTTATATTTAGGATCAAAATCAACTCAACAATGAGATCCTATAATAAGGACCGGAGGAGTAGTTTTTATTCAATTCAATTCAATTCACTTGTGTGATTCCAATTAAAATTACTTTTATAATATACGAAGTAAATATCTGAAAGAATTTGCCTTGATTTACAAAAAAATGCTTTTAACTTTTTAAAATATTTTTCATCAATCCAAACACTCCCTAAAAAAAGGGGGGGAAAAGGCACATACTCTAATTTAGAGACTATTTGGGTAGAAACTAAATCATAATTTTAAAAATAATTTTATAGTGTACGAAATAAATATATAAGAAAAATTTTGTCTTAACTTTTAAATATTTTTTAAAAATACTTTTGGGACATATCAAACAGCCTCTTAATTTGAGAATGTTAAACATTGTTAATTGTTAAATATGAGGATCAATAAAACAATTTTCTAATATATCAGATGGGTTTGAAAACTCAACTCCCATTCTTACCATCTGAAATATCACCTTTTTTTTGTGAGAAATGCCATAAGTGTCTTTTTTTCAGAGGCCGGGAACGCCAAAAGTTGTTTTGGAAATAAAATTTTAAATTTATCACCCTTTCGTTTAAAAAAATAGAATTAAAAATGATTTTGTACATATACCATGCCTTTTATCCCCCTAAATAAAAAAAAATAAAAAGAAACAAATACTATTCTGCAATAAGCAGTAGAAATATAATGTGATTAGGTCATTACTAATGCGACCTGAAAGATCAAAAATCTCATCTTCAGAAACTTGTGCAAGATGCCACATGTTTTAGATTTTGGTCTTGTTATTTTTAGCACAATACCTTCAATAAAATGCAAAACAACCACCCAAAAAAAGCAGTTTCTAATTTTACCCGAAGATGCATTGGTCCCAAAAATCAAATATTAAACTTATCAAGATACTAAATTATCGCACATGTTATCTCAGGAGATGCAAGGATTTCTGACAAAAGCCAGCTATATGCGAACTTCCTCCAAGCAAGTTGAATTGGTTGAACTGCTTGTATCATGAGGTACAAAATTTCAGTGCACATTCACAGCTACATCAGTTAAAGACAATCTATGTGCCAGGAGAACCAGTCCAGTTTTCCCAGCAAAGAATGAAAAGCTAAACTAATGCATATCTACTAAAATGAAACTAGGCTACACTAAAATTCACATGGGTCCAAGGGTCTGAACTTTGTTGTGATGGAAGCTTTGAGTTAAATACAATCTATGAGGATGTTTACTGCTCCATTAACTGAGAGGGCGGTCATTATGTTGAGCAGAATTGCAGAGTTTCAGAATCATTTCGTGTGAATCCACCAGATTTGAATTCTCGATATTCACATAGGACAATGCACATGCTGCATTCTTTTGAATCTCCTGTCGCATTCTTTGCATCACTCTCCAAAAGTATAAATGTATAAATATGGAAGGATTTGATTTGACCTTTTATGTGATCACACAAAATTGAAGCCATGGAGCATAATTTGATGCAACAGTCACTTGTATAGATTAAATGCAGATGTGAATCCATTATCCTGGTGTCATCGGTCCCCACCCTCAAGCTCGTCTTGGTCTTCAAGCTGATTTTCATCTTTGTTGTTTCCTTCTCCGTCACCTTCATTGTTTCCCCTGTTTTGCCCAAAGAACAACCCAGATGATGTGGAATCGTCATCATCCAGATCATCTTCATTTTCTTTCTCTTTGAATTGGGAAACAGAATCAGTGTCCATCCAGACAGGACACCGATGTGGAATGCCGCCAAGAGCAGTCAAAAGTTGCGATGAAGTTGATGGACTAGAAGCATTTGTTGTCGATCTGTCCAAGGAAGTATATCTCATGCAAGAACATTCAGGGACTGGATGAGAAAGAAAGGATAACTGTTTTGATTTTTTCGATGCCTCCATAAGTTCATCAAGTAATACTTTTCTCAAATGCCTTCGGACTGATTTTAGCCAAGTATGATTTGCTTGATACATGTTGTCACGATTTCTTCTATAAGTCTGGCACCTTCCTTTCTGCATCAACAGAAGCATGATAGAAAAGTCTGAAGAATTGTAAATTATCATCAAGTTTCAACATGGGTTATAAGAGCTTTTTTTCAATCACAATCGCATGATAAGAGATTGAACTTTAGTCATCATTTTGCCAACTATACTTTATCACTCAACTCTACTGTATTGCTTCACATTGGCGTTATTCTAGAAAAAAACTACATTCATTCCCTTTAAAGTACAGTTTAGATACATGAACTTCAAAATATAACAAAACAATCCCTATGCTTAGGATGAAAATGTTAAAACACAATTAAAATTAACAGTATTGCAATTACAATGCTTGGCTTGAAGTAATGTTCAAACTAGCAAAAAGTTTGTTTCTCGATCTAATAATTAACTAGGACTAAAGTCTTCATTTTGGCCCAAAATTTAGGTGGGTGTTTGTTTAAATTTTAAATCCAAGTATTGATTAGAGGGATGAAGTATAATTTGTCCTAGATTTTTAATCACAAATACAAACAAGGAAACAATGTTAAGGCTTAATGTGGAAAGCAAACAAGCTTCCACACATAGCTGAGGTATTCACCTGTCAGGTCTATAAGTCTTCAACGCAGCTGATTGGTAAAGCCTATGCCCTATCACCGAGATAGCAAAATTTGGCTGTCCCTTGCCATCACGATCAAATCCAGAAATAAAAGCATCAGCTTCAACACAAACCACATAGTCAATAGCTTCCCATAGTAATTTATGGGCATTGGTTCGCAATTCCATGACAGTACTATCAGGTTCATCATCACTCTCAGCAACCCATCCCCACCAGCCTTCAATGTTATATGATTTAGGCCTTGCTGGAGGTGGGGGCAGAGGGCGAGGTCGTGGACCAGCATTCTTCCAAGCATCTTGCTTAGCATCTTTTTCAATTGATGGTGGTGGCCCAGGAGGATTACTAACAAGATTAATCTCTTGGCCATAGAGATGACTCATTTCTCTTGGAGTGCTGAGAGAAGTCCTATCAACAACATTTTCGAACATTGCATGAAGAGCAATCAATGTCCTCTGGCCACCAAAGATTTCCCCTCCAGAAACATATATAACAGTGTCTCGTGAGTATCCATAAGCTCGCAGTAGAATACCAATCTGCAACAAATTTAAATTTCAAAATAGCTTCCTTAACACGTCTTTCATTTCACATATGGACTAACTTAGAGCTGCACATGGATTAAGTGGTCAATAAATTGCTTAGGCTCAGCTCAGTTCATCTATGAAATAAAAATGCTGGGGCATTACATTAGGCTTGCTTAATTCAAGAAACACTCAGTTAAGAATAAAATACGCTACAAAAACTGTGCATAAGCATAAAAATACATAATTGAGTTTCTTTAAAGTGAGAACTAGATTGGGCTCAGCTTACATAGACTTATTTGAATATACAGCATAATGAGCTGAGATATATGTTTGGATTAGTTAGTGCTTTGCGAAGTTTCAAGTTCAGTTCATATGGCTCACTTATTAGGTGAACTGAACATTAGATGCCTAAAGATTAAATCATACACACCCCTACACTTAATTGAAAATTCAAACATGATAATGACTAAGTTAGGATATTATATCCAGCCGTTTCATCAACATGGACAAATTTTACCCACTGGAAATTGGAAGAGCATGTTCTCTTACCTCTTCTGGCATTAAAGGGCAAGAACCATTTAATCTTGCTTCAGCTGAGTTTACTTTAAGCTTCCCCTTCACAATCCCTCGTTTGATCATCCGATATCTTTTGTGTTGGATGAGTTCAGTATGAACATCCTTGGGAAGAATTTAAAGGCATAGAGAAGATATGAAATGCTGAGAAAGGTTTAAAGATAGTCAGCGAAAATCTTTTAACATTTAAATAAAATACCTGGAAGAGTTCAGCACAACCGTGATATGCTAAAGCATCTCTTGTCATACCAGGTTCGTAGGCAATAAATGGTTGACCAGGAGCACGTAACCTACAAATATATCAGATGCTGCCCAAATATCAAGAGCTGCAAGAAAAAGAAATGAGAAGAAATTTATGAGATAGGGGACCGTGAATATCAGTCTTGCCTCAGTAGAATCTTTGCGGCAAGTTCTTGAACTTCCTGTCGAAACTGAAGAGCATGAAAAGCAACCCGACATCGCAGCCTTTGATATTCTTCAAAGCGGGGAGGAAGAATGGCCTGAGAAAAGCTTAGACAGTAAATATTTAAAACAAAAATTTTACTGCAGTGAGGAAATATTAATAAAAGGCTAAGTAAGAAAGGATCAACACATACAAATAGATATGATCAGAAATAATACAGCAAGGAGTGTAAATTACTTTTGTAGTCTTATGATCATTTGTTATGATTTATTACCACAGACTACATGCAAACAATCTGCATAAAGAAAAACTACCAAACTTGTTGAAAAAAGCAAATAAGCTACTTCATCTTTTTACACATCATCTGAATTGACTAAAACCAGAGCAAGTTTACGGCATTTGATGTTTGAGAGCGCATAACTAACACATAAACAAGGGGAAATGCAAAAATTAAAAGAGAAAGCATTAAGGAGAAAAGTTGACATAGAGAGCACAATGAACAATTATCACATCAATATCACTGCTACAACAATATCAGTCACTCAGCTTTTTGCAAGAAGCCCTTGAAAAGAAAAATATAAAATTCTAGATACGGTTTAGTATATGAAATTTTTTTTATTCCGTCTGTCTAGAAACCTACTTATAAAAAACAAACATAATTTTAAAAAGTTGCATTGTGTCCTAATTTAGGGGCTTTCTTTACTGTCAAGCTCAAATGTTTTATAGGTAGGTTTCCAACATCTTGGGAAATTAGGGTACCCAGGCACCAAACACCACCTAAGAATAAAAGAGAAGCAAAATCCTCTAACAATGTTCTACTTCTGACTAGTTACTTCCAAAGTTCAATTCAGGTAAGGCAGGAGTTAAGATTTAATGAAAGGTAAGGATATATTAGTTGAAACACAAACAGCCTTCACCTGCAAGCATCCACCATCAGATACAACTAGCTCTGCCACTGAATGCTTCTTTAGTACAGGGAGAACATTGTGCAAATAATAATATGGTGTTGCCGAACGAGGAACTTTAAAAGATGGAATCTCCTTCTTTCTCCTTGCACCTTTAAGATTTTTTGGAAGAGTTTTGACAATGTTGACATCTTTTGCGAGTGCTAGTACAAATTGATCTTCATTATAAAGATAAGCAAAACTCTTGAACTGAGAACTGCATACATAAATTTTTTGAAGAAAAAGGTAGAAAAATTAATTAATGTAGAAAACATTGGACCAAAATCTTTATAGCAATTTGTCACAGGGGCAGGAACCTTATTCCCTTGCTGCTTGTTGTCGATTGGATCTCAGGAATTGCTAAGGTAGCATTCAAAAGTCGAGAAACCACAACCACATCACATATCTGGAAAGAAACAGATGACACTACATGATTCATTCAATATGGTATGAAATCAAAAGAACAAACTAGCTGAAACACAATTCCTCACCGAGTTCCTGATCTCATGAAAACCACCCTGTATCCGGACAAAGATAAATCCATTTCTTTCTGAACTCGGTTCTGCACGACATAGAATATGGTTAGAGAGATTACAGATAAGAATTAACAGTATCCTATGGAAAATATTTAGGCCTACTGCATATGCCACCAGACTTTGTACAATTTACAAACAAGTCAATGTTAGAAATGGATCAAGACAATATTTCAAATAAGCTAAAATCCAAGACTAAGATGACAGTTGAAATGTGTATCATGAATAATTAGTAACATATGAACTGATGCCAAGGAATTCCCATGCTTGAGAACAATATGCTTGAGTTCAATCCAGTTGGCGGAAATATTTGACAAAAACCTATGCCTGGTACCAAGAAAACACTATGTACAACATAGCAACTGACGAATCTATTCTAATTTCCAAGGTTATACTTTGTTTTTCCTACATGATCATCTTTTTAAATCTAGAAACTTGGAATTTCCATTGACTAAATAGTCTATTCAGCATATTATCCAGTTAGTTAAACAATCAATTCCCTTCAGACCACAAAAGAAAGAACTATTAAAAACAATCAGATTTTTAATTCGTAAGTTTCGTCAAACAGATAATGTCTTAGACCACCAATAAAATCCTCGGGGACTAAAAGAAAGCAAAATAGTCAGAACCAACCAGCATAATATCCTCTGGGATTTGCATCGGGGTGCAAAGATTCAAGCCGCTTCACGGAACCCCATAGTCTTCTATATGACTTACTCTGCAGCTCGAGTCATGAGTTAAGCATTAGAAATAGACACTAATCAATTAGTGAAGAACTACAGAGAATGCACGCAAGAAAAGATAACTCCGACTGCACAGGACTCAATACCATCCAAAATTACAGAAAAACTGAAAAAACACAAGAAGCAGATCTACGCCAAAGAACAAATTTTAAGCTGAGCTTTTCTCATCGAACAACAAAGATAGCAAAGAAAATGGCCTCTCACTGTTCACTGAATATTTATAAAGATCCAGACAAAGATGCGATAAGTCGAAGCTCAGGCCAAAAAATCCCCCATGATTGGAAAATGACAGTGAATGCAACAACACCTAGTCGCTTTTCAGAATAGCAATTTCTTGCCCGTAGAATAACAGAACACTTCGTCAACCAAGTCAACAAAGAACAAATTGAGATCTCAGCGTGAACCACCACCTGGCATCAGCTCATTTATTACCTGCGAGGAGAAATCTGGATTCTCAAAGATGGGTCTCCAAGAGAACACTGTAATTGACGACTGATAATCTGCAATGCCATCCTCAGTAAATCGAGCAAGCAGAAAGTGGACGAAGATGGAGAAAGCAGAAAGTACAAGCCCAACCAAACCAATCCATTTCATCTTCGACTTCATTTTCCCTTCTCCTTTCATCACTTACTCTCTCTTTCTCTCTCTATCTGTGTGGGGACTGCGAACTAAATGTGAGCTTCTCAGAGCCTAGAAGAAGAAGGAAACAGAGAGAACTCAGCAGAGATTAGGAAATTCTATAAAAGAGATTCAGATACCACGTGAGAGAAACAGGTGTGATGGACTTCTTTTTTGTGGAAGTCTTAATCACGGCAAATATGATTTCTTTTCTTTCTCATGTTTTTATTTTTCTCATTTTCCTTTCCCGGAAGATTTCTCAGGGACTCCCTCCCATATCTAAGATTCAATTTTGAGGTAGGCATCATCATCATATTTATATTTCTGGGAAAAAAAAACATGCTACTTATATTTATAAAGAAGGGAAAATTGGTTAAAAATTTTCCATTAGAAATTTCATAAGTGAGAAGAAGTTAATAAATTTATGCAAACAATAGTAGTACTTATCAAATTTGTATATATTTTTTTGGCCAAATTAAATTGAGACAATTCCTATGAAATGACAAATAAAAAATATAAGTCCTAATAATAACAAAACAGTCTATAATGACAAGTTTCAAAATAATAAATGATAATTACTCACTTATTGTTAAAACTTACTAGTAATTATTTTTCTTAAAATTTCATTGTAATTCTCCCAATCAAATTTGTGTACATATATAAAGATATTATTCTGCATTTTCCTAATTTTAAATAATTATTTTATCTCTGTATCTCATAAAAAGTCAAGAAAACCGTACTGTCATGTTGGCTTCCTGGTAATGGCAAGAAAAAAAATGTGGGCTTCCCAGTTTAATATAAATAAATATATATTGTAAGTTTTTCTTAATTTAAACCTTACGTTTGTACTTTGTAATAGAGGGCAAGTTACTTTATTTTCTCGGGATAACGTACAATAATTGGCGGGAAGACAATGATAAAAATGGGAAGGAGGATATTATTGATCTAAAAAAGTTAATCTTGGTATAAATCTCGGATAATCTTTTAATGGCAATATGATTAAATTACATGAACTGTTTGTTCTATTTTGTTGAAATTAAATAAATTCTTTTTTTTCAAAATGAATATAAGCATGTCTTAAATTTTATTAACATTGTATAGATTTTTTCTTCCGTTTTTGAAATCACAGTTTAAGAAATTTATTTTAAATTTTGCCAAAGCTACTATTAAGAAATTAATTAAGATTCCTCTTCTTATAAAATATTTTACATAATCATTTTATGAAGTTCTAGGAGAAGCCTTTTTTAATTTTTGCCATAAATCAAAACAAAATCAACGCTATCTAGACCTTATGTTTAGAAAATGCTTTTGTAATGTGGAGGGAAAAAAAGCATATGCTACCACACAGCGACACTCCTTAATATAAAATTATTTAAAAAATTAGTTAAGTTAGTTATTTGTATAGATATGATTTAATTTTTTTTAAAGAACTATTTTTAATTATGACTACTCTTAGATGAAAATCCTTTAACATATGTAATTAATAGAGATACTTTAAAAAATAAATTACAAATTTGGAGGACAAAATAAATTGAAATTTTATATTTATGACTAGATTTAATTCCTGACTAGTTCTTATATTAAAAACAGAAAATTATTATCTTCAATCAATGGAAGTTAAAAATGATGGTCGTAAGACCATTTTTGCTGCTTTTTTATGCAATTTGTTTTCATTTCTTACGACAAATTTACGTAGCGTAAATTATAACAAATAAAAAAAATTAAATTGTAGCAAAATTTAAAATTTGCTTAAATTAGACCTTGTGCTTGTTTGATAAGGCGTTTGATGGAGGAAAAAATAGCTTCTAAGTGTTGTAAATGAGTTGGGAAATTTAGAAGCTGTTTGTCATAATTTTTTGCTAATTTGATTTATGAGACAAAAGCTATTATTTTAAGTACGATTATAAAATATCTAAAACTTATTTATGACTTATACAAAAATAACTGTTTAGAATTAAAAGACATTTTACCCTAATATTTATATTATTCTTATACTTCTCTTTATATATTATTTATGCTTCCTAATTAGTTTTAGTTATTTATTTTTAACATTCTCTTGTGTAAAAATAATTTTTAACAGTTTTTATAATATTTTTAATTTTTAATATTATTTTAATTTCATATTTACATAAATTATGTATAGTATATCATCTAATTAATTATGCAATATTATTCCTTTCAAAAATTTGCACGTTACTATAATTTCTAATTTAAATATATTTTATTCATTAAGTATAACTTCTTCCTATTATAATAATTTAAAATTATTATATTTTATAAATTCATATTTTTAATCATTTTTTATTATTTAATAAAAGTAATATTCATTTCAATCATTTTACAAATTAAACTTATTTATTCAATCATAATTCAAACAATTTTTTTACTTTACAAATTAAATTTTATAAAAATCTATCTAAACATAAATCATATTATCCAATTTAACTTTTATCCAATCTAATTTTTTAAAAAATTTAAGCTAAAAATAAACTACTGGATCCTTATCTAACAGTTTTTGGCCTGTCGGATGTATGAAATAAAAGCTTTTTTTTAAAGTACGATTGCAAAAACATTTAAAACTTACTTATGACTTATGCAAAAGTAACTTTTTAGAATTAAAGGACATTTTATCCTAATATTTATATTATTCTTATATTTCTCTCTATATATTCTTTATGTTTTCTAATTAGTTTTTAATTATTTATTTTTAATATTCTCTTGTGTGAAAATAATTTTTTACGGTTTTTATAATATTTTTAATTTTAAATATTATTTTTATTTCATATTTACATAAATTATGCAGAATATATCATTCAATTAATTATGTAATATTATTCCTTTCAAAAAATTTCACATTACCATGATTTCTAGTTTAAATTTATAGTTTTAATCATTTTCCATTATATAATAAAAGTCATATCTATTTTAGTTATTTTACAAATTAAACTTACTTATTCAATCATAATTCAAATAATTTTTTTTACTTTACAAATTAACTTTTATAAAAATTAATCTAAATATAAATCATATTACCTAGTTTAATTTTTACTCGATTTTTTTAAAAAAAATTAAACTGAAAATAAGTTGCTGAATCCCTATCTAGTTATGCCTTGATAGCTGAGAGGAAGTAACTTTTTTTTTTGGGGGGGAAAATGAATAATTAAAGTATTGGGAACAGACAAACGGACGGGACCATCAATCCAATGGCAACTAATAAGCCATTTTCCATGTTTAGCATGATCCTCAAACGAGTGACGAGGACCTTTTGGCACGTGATGAAGCGTGGAGATGGGGCCCACTTTGTCTTTTCTACTACTATTTCTGGTTCGTGGCGGGGTGGGTGCCTGGGTGGGTTATGCAGATTATAAGCATCATTAAGGAAAAGGGATTTTTGAATGTGATGATTATTTTTTGCATCTGATATTTAATCCTTTTTTATCCAGAAAAAAAAAAAGAGGCAACTTTTCCGATGGGAAACAGATGTTTACCATTAACTCTTGTGACCTTTTTTCTTTTTTAATAAAAGACATTATCCTGTTCTGAGTAAAATCACTATTCGTAATTTTTTTTATCAATATAATTTGAAGCAACTTTATAAAAGGCATGATATATATAAAAGATGTTTCTTAATTAAAATAATATTACCCATCAACCTATGATTGCTTTTCTCAATGATGTGATAGAAAGCATTATTGAAAATTTTAAAAATTTATTTATTTGAGATTCAATTAAAAAAAGAAATTTAAAACTAACATATACTCCCTTCGATTGCATAACATAAAATGTGTTTGTCTCCCTTTTATTAGTCACCATTTTTTTATTTTGTCATCATTCAACAAAAAAACCTCATACACCTATCATTCTTAGAGAGAGTTAAATTCGTAAACTCTTATTTAAATTAACACTTAAGAAAATACTTGGTATCATTTGAGCCAAACGGCTTGGACTATGAATCAGGATACGTTTTTATCAGCATATAAGTCACAATATAATTTTGTTAAAATATTACATTTTTTCATATATGCTTTATGTTGAAAACTATGATGCAAAAATAACAAGAGAGGATATAAATTAATATAATGATAAGTTTGCTGCAATTTATACGGGTAATATTAAAAATTATCTCAATTTTATAACAATTTTCGGTCTAACTAGTTTTTAGTCACTTTTTTTAATGCCTGTAAGGAAATCACTCTCTATACATGTGATTAAATGGAATGGCTTATGTTTAGAATTGGAGAGACTTTATAAATATTAAGAAGTCATATTACCAAGATAATCGCATGGACTACTATTCTTACATAACTCAAAATAATGCCATTTCAGATTTAATAATGAGAGAAAAAAATACAAAATCCTACACGATCAACTTTTTTAAGCTTTGAACCAAATCGGCTAGGAGACTAGTACACGGATTTATTAGTCTGACCAACTAATTTAGGTTGGCTTAAAATTACAAACGCACACCAGTCATTGAGCGGTCCAAATTTTTTTATTATAATTATATTTTGGAAAAATCGCAGAAAAAGACTCTTAAAAAATACTACTTCCGGTCCTTAATATAAGACCTCGTTTGACTTTTATTTTAGTTCTAAATATAAGACCTCAATCTACTTTGCCTCTAATATTTATGCATTTTTTCCTAAGATAACCCTTTTAATAATGATAATTCTAGCCAATACACTTTATTAGTAAGGATATTTTAGGAAAGATAATACCTTTTTTTTTTTGTGAACAACGAAACCTATTTATTATAAATAACTAACTTAACTTTTTTTAATCTCCTCAAATTAGTCAATTAGCTCTTATAATTAAAACCGGAGGTGGTATAAAATTATGAAATGGGCAATTCAATTCATAAAATTGCTGTCAAAAACCAGGTCCTAAATATGAATTATGATATGTTAGGAAAAAGACCAAAATACCCCATTTGTTAAAAAAAAAAAAAAAACTCTCATCCTCTCCTCTCTCCATGTCGTTGAGAAATCCGGTGACAGGCTCGATGAAGTGGTTTTTTGAGTTGGTGGAGGTTGTTGACAATGGGAAGAGAAGTTGGACCTCGTGGGATGTTTCTAAACTTCTTATTTTGAACGAAGAGGTTGAAA